AATTCGCTATTTGAAATCAAAAACGTCCGAAAATTATTTATGCGATCAATTATATCTTACGGTAACAATTTCGTTCAACGATTTCACGTATTGCTTATACAAAATTCGAATTTAAAAGTTCATAATAATTATTTTTTAATGGTTATTCAAAAAGTATAGTTAATAGAGTCAGAAAATTAAGGACAGTAAAGATGACGGATAAATAACGTAACTCAAATATGGAACAAAAAAGCAGTAATATATCGTGATGTTCAGGCATTGTGTNACGGATAAATAACGTAACTCAAATATGGAACAAAAAAGCAGTAATATATCGTGATGTTCAGGCATTGTGTTGATGCATGCAGTTCGACCGTATGCTTCGGTTCAACTCTAATATCATCTTCTGTCCAATCATCGACGCCATTGACAATAACATTTGATTCCGAGTCATCGGCGGAATCATCTTCCGATTCACTCGAAAGGATTCGTCGATTAGTCTGATATATGGAAACGATGGTGCTATTATTGTCGTCAACTTCACAATCGCTTATCAGTAGATCAATGTCTTCAGAACAGTCTTGATAGTGTGTCCATAAACAACTCATCGCTTGAATTGTCACTCATGTTTCTGGACATTTTTAGGGATATTTTTTCTATACTTCGTTTTACACCACTTGTTGAGAGTCGCAGCAAGGAGCTTAGCTTCTACACTAATATTTGCAAGTTGAGCGGAGTCTTACATATTCGAAAAAGTCGTGAGAGAAAGAAGCGTTCCTCAGGTCAAAATGGTAGATCTACCCGATCGGTCGGCTAAGTGTTAACACTATGCCGTCCGGTGTCACCACGCTGGTGCCATGCAAAAACTATCTGTTGTATGCCGGTGGTACCACTTTGAAGCCATTTTCAAAAACTGAAATAACATTCGAACTATATTTCTTGGCTGTTAAAAGGCAGCAAACTAACTATAGCATTGTGCTTATTTAACTAAGAATTAAGTACGAAAATTCTTGGATGACACATCTTAATCTTAGGAATTTATATTACCGCCATCTTCGAAATTCTTTTTAAAATCTAAAATTTCCAAGCTATTATGCCGGCGTCAAACAAAAGAATCATATCTAAGATCTGCGGACGGCATAGCGATAAGTTTGAAACGTGTGGGCTGTTACTCGGCAAGGCCATCTGCAAGAAAAAATGTGTAAAAATATTGCTATATCTCAACTGTTCATAAAAATAATTACACTATATCATATTTCTGCAGTACGTGTTTCATAAATACTATTTCCACCATTTAAATATTCGCGTCGTACACGGTTATGTTGTGACGGTTACGACATAACCTTGTTGCCATCGAATAATATTCAGCACTCGTAGTAGAAATGAAATATACATAATATTCGCTTCATACTAACGTGCTTACTTTTCGTGAACTACCGCGGTAATGCCGATCACGACACGAAATGGTAAGGAGGTTCTAGAGCCCTTCAAAGCTGAGACAGAAAATCCCGTAACGTACAATGTCTGTACAGGTTCTAAGATCCATTTTTGAGTGACAAAAAAAATTTACATCGAGTGCTAGGTCTACTCCTATACTTCGTCTGTGCCTACTAGAGCTGTTTATTATTCGGCACAAATAATCGATCCGAGCCGAGACTCAAAAGATTGAGCGGCTCGGATGTAAGCGAGCAATTCGGAGGCATTTCGAGCGGTTTGCTAGGATAGAACTTCGAATTTCGATCCGAATTTCTTTCGAGTCGCTCGGTTGTACCGAGTATGTATTCGGCTCGGCTCAGCTTGAAACCAGAGTGCTGGCTCGGCCGGTTTTCGAGCCGCTCGAATATTCGAGTATATATGATCCGTTTATTTAAGGGTTTGCGTTTTAACACGTTTCAAAATATGGATGCTAACTTTCGAGAAGATTTACTTGCATTTGTTATCTCAGAATACTGATATTTTTCTCAGTATAAATAATTTCGTAGAAATATTAAAAAATCACCACTTTTCATTACGGTAAAGTGACTTGAGCCACTTTCAAAATAAATAGTTTAGAAAAATGACTGACATATATTCATTTTGTCCGACGTATTTTACCGAAGTGATGTTTTGAAAGGACAGTGATTTACTAAAATTGTTGAATAAATTACATATATAATAATAATTTATACCATGAACATATTTAATATAAAGGTTTGATTTAAGTATTTTTTATTTTAATATTCATAAAATACAAAAATAATTAGTACATTTTGAAACATAAGTATAAGTAATTTATATGAAAATACATCGGTTC